TATATATATACATATATATATATATACATAGGAATAACCAAATTGATTCTTTCGAGTGAGAGCTTTTCCCAATCTTTCTCACTTTCTTCTCCATTCTCTTGATCCGAGAGCTTGGTGTTATAGGAGTTTCTCCGGAGTTTGTTCAAGAAAGGGCGTGTGGTTGCGTAAGGGGGAGTTGGACTTTCATTTTTCCCTGAGTTCAGAGGTTGGGAGTTAGGGCGGGATTTGAAAATTCAGTAATGAGGGAATCAAGTTTCTATGAAGTTAAAGAGGATTGAGAGGGGATTGTATAGTTTTTCTTTATCAGAGACAGAGATAGTAGTTATCGACATCGCATAAGATTTCAGATTGAGAGCAGATTAATGTCAACGAAGACTGTATGGAAAATAATCGAATATAGAAAAGTAAGTTGGATTGGGGTGAAGAGGACGATGAGTCAGATATGGAGGCTTCGACAATCTTTAAAGGTGAAAGAGTTGGGCCATAATTTTTTTCTAATTCATTTTCCAGAATCGAAAAACCCTAAGAAAGATGGCGTCAAGAAAAAATTGGAGTTTCGAGAACCAGTATCTTGTTCTTCAAGAGAGGCAACAAGGACTCAATAGCATACACCAGGGCTTTCGAGAGCTTAGCATCTGGGTTTAGGTATTGAATGACCCCTTAACTCGTACCAAGGCTTTCAAGAGCTTAGCATTTGGGTTCAGGTATTGAATGACCCCTTAACTAGTTAAGCGCGGAGGTAGAGCTGAAAATTGGCAAAATCTTTAAAGGAGTAAAGAATGTTGTAGTAGTTAGCGTTGGTAACCACGGAGGTTGGATCGTTCGGTTGCTAGTCTCTATCAACATGAATGAGGCTTTACCAAGGTGTGCCAATATAAGACTGGGAGAACAGTTGGTTTGTGTAAGTTTTAGATACGAGAAACTAGTAATCCTATGTTACTATTGCGGTAAGGTAGGTCACTTAGACAAAGGGTGCTCCAAAAGAATGGAAGATATAGCCAACAATTCCATGAAGAAGGTACTATATGGGAAGTGGATGAAGGCAAATGAGGGTTAGAATTGGATTGAAGTTAGCAACTCGGGTTCCAGGGGATCACAACAATCAAACAAGTCTTCAGCTTTCATCTCTTAGATCAAAGAACCTTATTCATAACTATATCTAGAAAAGATGTGGAAAGTGACCAGGTCATTCAGCTGCAAGAGGAATGGAAAAAGATCCAAGGTTGGACATTGTTGCATCTAGCTCCTTTAAGAAAAATGTTGAGCTGATGGACAAGAGCAGTCCTGGTAGAGTGTTGCTTTCTACTCAAATTGTTCAGGTGTTAATTGAGGATCCAATGCACCAGAGTAAATGGATAATGTG